CTCGGTCACAGGCACAACACTCCCAGAAGGGGAGGCAACAGAAACATTAACTGACTTTAACTTAGACTTTGACTTACTTGAAAAAACATTCAAATTATTGCCCTTTACATTATCACCAACAACCTCACAGGAAGGATTGGGCAATTTTTCCTCCTGCGAGCAAACTAGTTTTTTGGACCACGTCTAAAATTTCCACCTTGACGGCAATGCCGCCGAATGTGACCTGGTTGCCCACAACCAAAACAAACAACAGGTTGCCTCTGCCACTGCGGCGGTTCGGGACCCAACCCCACGGGTGCTACGACAGCATGATGACCAGCTAGGGGAAGATGCCCCGCCGCTTGGTCTCTCTGAAAATCAGCGTCCTGGACAGATCTCGAAAGGATGGAAAGTCTGTCCAGATCCGCAAAAGATGAAGGCCGTGGTGCAAAAACCAGACGGGAGCGTTCCTCAGGCTTCAACCCCTGAAGCACAATGTCAATGAGCTCAAGCTCACTGATCCCCAAACGCAAGACCCTTTCCACCGCGCGAATGTCCCCCACGTACTGGCTGAGAGACTCGGCTGGCTGCTGAGGACGAAAAACTCTCTCAACTTTCAGCTTCTCCATGACCCGACGGGGCATGAAAAGCTCCAAAACTTCTTTATGAAAAACATCAAAGGTGACGCCTCTGCGCAAACAATCAAGCAATCTGTCCCCCAACGGTTTCAGACAGTATGGAGCAATGAGTTCCATCAAAGTTGCGTCTGACATGCCAGGGTATTCACGCATGCGCAAAACACTCTCCAGAAAAAAACAAAGACCATTCACATCTAACCCGTCCACCGGCCGGAAACCACTCAGGACAGAGGCAAGGGGATGGGGAAGTTTGCCAAAGGAGTTAGAGATGGAAGGGGAACTATGAACTTGAGAAGGAAAGGGAGATGGGGACTGGACATTCAGCGTAGCCGCAGCCAAGGTGGACGTGTGAGAGGGGGACGGTGTGACATTTGCATTTGACATTTGAACATTTGCAGGCAACTGGAGCAGTGTACTTGGCGTAGGCGGAGCCTGGGGGGTACCCACTGGAGCCACAACTTCAACAACAGACTTTGGCACTTCGTTTGAAATTTCCAAAGAACGGTTGTCTTCAAAAATTTCAACTTTCTCTTTGACAGACTTTCCTGCCTTAATACTCTCCAAAATTCCTTCCAGCTCAAGAATTCTGGCTTCCACCCAGCTCTTGTCCTCATCTTGGATTTCAGGTTGCCCTGAAACCAAGAGCAGACGCTTACGCCAGTGCGTCAGCTGTGTGATAGCCGAACCCTTAGCTGAGCCCATAGGCAAACTACTCCAACTATTAATTTCCCCACTTAGCTCTTCCATCCTCTCTTTACATGCCTCCAGTTCCTCATCCAAACTGAGCGACTCAACCCAAGCTTGAGGCATGCTAGCAATTTGTCTGAACTGTGTACGCAAAGTGCGTACATCAGTTCCAGGAGTCTCCCCCCGGGACCGCACCTCGTACACCAGCTCCGGCTTCCTCAAATATTCCGGCACAATTGACGCCATACCGAGTCTCAACCAGTACTTGACTCAAAACAGACAACAAAAATTTTTTCACAAAACAAACACAGAAATTTAATTCCTAAGGCTTCTGGACGTTGATGCCTACGCACCTGATGGGGCCCAAAAGAAGAACCTGCCCATTCATACCGCAAGTACCGCAAGAAAAAACAACAACAAATGACCCACGAACGTACACACACACAAACATACACCGATACATACACTAGACAACACCTAACACTTGTGTGATGGGGTGTACACACAAACCTTTTTTTTTTTTTTTGACACATGACCATGCTTTTGACACTCTTGCTCCCGAAGGATGCAAGTCATTACCACCGATTCCACCCGGTGCCTCGGCCAAAGGGCGAGCTCCTAATAAAATGTGTTTACGCCCCACCACAACAACAACAAGACCTTTTTCCAAAACTGCCAGGCCAGAACATTTCCAAGAAACCAATCCATCCACGGCTCTTCAAAACAAACAAAAAACAGAACGCGGACAGCGATCGCATCTCTAAGTATCCGAGTCGTGAAACCAAGTTTCACGACAAGGCACCCAGGACGCAACCCACTAACCACGCTCTGCTACCAGATGAACCATGCCCTCGCGCCTGCACCCAGACTAACGAAAAGGAAGCGTGATCCATGCGCAGGCCCGAGGAGCGGCTCACAAAACTTTACTTAACAAAATGAGAACCATGGATGGAGGCTCAAGAACAACACGCCATTTGAGAGAAACGAGCTGTAATTAACCATTTAAAAGAATAACACAACAACAATAATTAACAATAATACATGAATTAAATACTCTCAATTAAACTTTAAAAAATTTTGATACCCGTTTACCCTACTAACTTACAATTATTTCATTAATCATTTTCAAATAGGCTAAATTTCAAAAATAAATCTTACTAGCTTTTACCTTTCAAAAAACTTTTAAATTAACAAATTACAACAATGATATATATAATGACTCTTATAATAAATTCATTTTATCTGGTAACTATAGAAACTTTAGGGGCCCCAAATTAGAATTCAATAGAATATTTAATAAAATTATAAAATTTAAAAAAGATCAACAAGTAGCCTAAAGAATTAAAATTTAAAAAGAATAACAATTAATAAACTATGTATAGGCCTATAACAATAATAATTTCAAATAGTCTCTTGGGTTGCTTTTTTTTTTATAAATAAAATCAAAAAACATAACGACAGTGGGTAACTTGCGGTAGTGCGGTTGGGTTTTGGGCCAGGTCTAGAAGTTCAGCACCGGAGGGGGAACCAAGCAGGGCGGAGAGGGGGCCAAGGTCTACGAGGCAGCCATGAGTTACAAATTTCCTCCGCCAAGGTCGAAACGGTCCAGTGCATAGTCCTCCTCACGGGCCCCAAAAGGCGCGCGTGGCGCGATAAATTTACACCATTGCGTAGCAGAACAAAAGTAAAGAACAATTAACAAAACTGCTTTGCAAAAAATAAAGCATAGAAACAGATGTTAAAGGATAAATTTGTTCTGAAAATCCTCTGCGAGGTAAACGGCTCTGACGTCGCTGAACCTATGAGTTGCTGGCGGAAAGAGTAAGAAAAACAAGACTCACAGCCTTGTTCGGGGTCGTGAAAGTGACAACGAAACACTGAACTAGCCTACTATAAAAAAACACTTGAACCATTGAATATGAGTCGTGACATTCGCCCGGTGGAAATAGTCACGGCTCAATTGCTCTAGCAGGTCATCTAAATTTAACATGGCTGTGTCCCCCTGACTTCAGTCGTCAACAGGTGCTTATTAATGAAACTGGGGAGTCATGGTGCTCACATGTAAATTAGGAGGACTGATTCAAATCGTTCCCCACGTACAGGGTTTGCCTAGGGGGAACCATCCATTGTATAAATATTATAATTTGTGTAACATATATTTTTTATGTGGAATAAATTATTTTTGATTTGATTATTGCTCACGCGCTGTGACCTCAGCAGAGCTTTTGACTGCGTATCCTAGATCACATGCCTGTTCAAAAAACTTAGCAAAATATGCAAAAAAATTAACAATTGGCAAAAATGACCGGTGGCGTAGTTATTTCCGCCTTCAATAACTCCCTAGTCAACAGGAACTCAGAATAAGGTACGGTAACACTTGAAGATGCAAAGCTCTATTATAATAGGGGCCGTCCACATATTGCGTAACACCTTTTTCGTCACTTTTAAACCCCTCCTACCTGTGACGCTGCAAAACACAAGCCTAACCCCCCTAACCCTCTGTAACATGCTGTCAGATATCACAACAATAAACTGTTAAACAAGGTTGTGGTGTACCTATGAGGTGGAATTTTCTATTGAAGTAAAAAATTGGTTGAAAGTTGGTCTGGAAGTAATGTTATCAATAAAACAAACATTTTTAGAGCAAACTTTATAGTTTAAAAATGTTTTTCTTAAATCATTTAGGTTTTAAGAAAATCGATTTTTTTAGTGCGTTATCGCACCGATCTGCTTGACATACTATTAAGGGTTGTTCTTGATGCTGGTAGAAGGGGGTTTTCTTACTTTGGGCCGGCTCAGTAAAATCATAGACTAACCAACAAAAGTAGACTAAACGTAGACTAAACTTCTCATCCCATTGTCAATTTTGAAGCTCGCTTTTGTGTCTATAGTTCATTTCCGGCGACACTGATCGCTAGTGTTGACGACATTATGTTTCTATAATTTTAAGTTTAATTTTATGATTTGTACTGATTTGTAAACATGATTTGTAAACAGTTAAGGGGATTAACACGGTTGACCACAATCCAGACTTGCACTGATTATGAGAGTTTTCTATAAACTGACAATTGGTCAACCTTTTGGCTTCCTCAACCTTTTAAGTACAAAGATTTTCAGGGCCACGATACCGATACCCCATCTTTGTCACAGAACGTGCCCCCATAGATAAAACATACTCCCTTTTAGTAGATTTCTCATCCTAATGGAACAGCTGAAGACAATTTTATTGTTAGTTCTGTACGGTTTATGTAGAGGTCGTGTTTTGTTTACAATTTGTTTCCCGTTAATACAGTCATTTAAAACCTCGTGATAATAATACGATCTAATCATAAACAATAAATTGTCTCCTAGTTATTTAACCAAAAAGTAAAGCACAAATCAAGAAATTAACCCTAAAATAATAGAAACAAAATTTCGTCGACACTAGCACCCAGTTTGGCGTACATGAACTAGACATAAAAAACGAGCTTTAAAATTTACAATGGGATGAGAAGTCTACTGGTGCCCCGATGTAATGTGATGTCGACATTGCGAAACCTCTTTATTTAATCTATGATAATCTACTTTTAAGTAGTGTTCTCTGTACGTTGTTTTACAACGGTGTCAAATCAGCTGATTCCTCATTAGTGAAAAGCACAAACAGAAATCATTTCAAATTACCTGCGCATGCTTCGTTTCCAAATTTAAGCCATTTTGTTAGTGCCCCGTCGTCTGCTTGTGTGTCTCTATGTGTTTATTATTTCCACGTTTTCTGCAAATATAATCTTTTTTAATATTTAATTGTATAAATTATTGTTGCTTCCTCCGTCCGGACTTCGAACTAATTTTTACTTGCCGGTTGGTGTAAAATCATTAATTTCAGCCTATAGTTTATCAGCGTTTCAATTTATTTCTTTACTAAATTCGGAAATAAGTGAGTTATATCGATAACAGAAATTTTGTATACCAATATTTAGTTGGGTCCAACTCTATAAAAATTATAGGCCTAGTTACTTTTTTAATCATAGAATTGGCCATCAACTTCAACCCCTGGAATTCCAACAGATATGGTGCCCTTTGTGGTTTTTTAGCACTTAGGTAAGTTTTTAGGCTAGGTATTCACACTCTAAAAAAAACATTCAGTCCAATAACTTAGCCTAGGGATGAGCATCGATAGAAACACATCGATGTTGACCATCGATGTTAACATCGATGTGTGAAAAACATTGATGAAAATCGGACCGAAACATCGATGTTTTAATAAAAATTCCGTAATTTTGTAAAAATTGTGTACAGTAAAATTCTAAAAACATCGATGTACGATAAACATCGTTAGCTCACTATCAATGGCAAAAACATCGAACATCGAAAGAAAACATCGATGTTTCGAAAACATCGGCCATCGATGCTCATCCCTAACTTAGCCTTCCTTAAGTAGCAGGCTAGACCTACATACTATTCTTACCATTAGACTTAAAGTGTTTAATTGTCCGTCTAGAATAGGCTTGGCCAAATAACTTAATATGGTTTAGAGAGTAACTTACTTGAAGAAAAGAATCTGAACAAAAACATACCCTACTAACTTGGGTACCGGTAGTAAAACTTGGCTAGTAAGTTGCTATTAACCCAGAAATAGGCCTAATAGAAAATGGTTTTGTAAGTTACCGTAGGCTACCTACAAAAATGTGTTCAATCATCAAGTCAGCTGTATAGTCCTAAGTATGCCTACATATTGTTTACTCCCTTCAACGCTACTTTCTCCTACGGATTCCACCATCCGGTTGAGGAGATTTTACACTGTGACTTAAGTTATGATTCTTTCACATTAGCCTAAGTTTACACAGTTTCTTACAGTAGGATATGGTGAGATGAATGTGTTTACAAGGTCACAATAAACATAAACAGTGTCCAATTAACAAGTCAGATTATCAACAATAAACATTGCAATCAGCTGATTTATCTGCAACAGCAGGTGGGCTCCCGTTTGATTTAAAACCAAGCTAGTACATTATGAAAGCTTATATTTAACTAACCTATATACGCTGACGCATGGTTACGGAGTGACAACCGGCCGGTTCAGTGGCAGTGGACCACTGCAAGACAGTAGGCTACTTTGTTTTGCAGGAAATGGTTGGAAAAGTTAGGATTCATTTAAGTGATTGTGTCTACTTCAGAGTGTGCTAGTTCATGCTTTTGCTTCTTTAGTTCCTCAAACTTCCGAATAGTGTTTACAGCAAAGTCAAGTTTTAGGTCATTGTCCAACTGAAGACGGCTAAGGGGTTCGTCATGCATACCAATTATCAAGACCATTAAAATCTCCTCTTCAATCTGTCCCCATTCACAACTTTTTGCTAGAGAATGAAGAGCAGTTACAAAGTCTTCTATAGACTCTGTTGATCCTTGTTTACGCTTTAAAAATTTAGCTCTTTCAAAAATTATATTCTTTTTTGGAATGAAATACTGTTCAAACTTATTCAAAACAACATTGTAATTGTTGATATCTGATTCATTTAGTTTAAATGAATCGAGTATTTGTTCTCCCTTTTCTCCCATGCAGTAAATAAGCATATCTACCTGTGTTATGCCGCTGGCTTCTTTAAGGCCACTCAATGAATGGTATCTTCCAAAACGTTTTCTCCAACTTGGCTATTCACTTGGGTTGAATGTAAAAGGTTCTGGTGGTTTCACATTTAGGGAAATTGCAGCTTCATGAGGCACATTAAGGGAAACATTAGGTTCATTCGACGACTGCACCATGTTTTAATACCGTACAGTATATAGATTAATGAGAATTCATTAGTTTTGATTCAAAAGTATATTATTTAATTCCGATACAGTTATAAAGCAAGAACCTTCAAAATATTTACAATGCAAAGTCAATAAACCAACAGAATTATAACATCTACTTAATATTACAACACTTAAGTAATAACATATAGACTAACCAACACAAGTAGACTTCTCATCCCATTGTAAATTTTGAAGCTTGTTTTTCATGTCTAGTTCATGTACGCCATACTGGGCGCTAGTGTCGACGAAATTTTTTTTCTATTATTTTAGGGTTAATTTCTTGATTTGTGTTTTACTGTTTGGTTAAATAACTAGGGGACGATTTATTATTTATGATTAGATCGTATTATTTGGTTAAACAAGGTTTTAAATTACTGTATTAACAGGAAACAAATTGTAAACAAAACACGACCTCTACATAAACCGTACCGAACTAACAATAAAATTGCCTTCAGCTGTTCCATAAGGATGAGAAATCTACTAAGGGAGTATGTTTTATCTATGGTAATAACTAGTGGCTTGTAGGGGCAATAGCCCCTATATTCTAGCAATTATTTTGTACACATTATTAGTCTCATGGGATACCCTACCTTGAATTATCATTTAACATTTTTGTATATTATGATAAGTTTAGTAGTTATTACATACCTGCATAATGCATTTTGATGTCTGCTCTGTTTAAAATAAAAATTCCAAAGGACATGCGGTGTGTTTTATAATATAAACTTTCTTATCATAATACCTACAACTAAGGAACATTTTCCATTAACAATCTTTATGACTATTAATTAAATCTATATACAGGGTGTTTTTTTTAAGTGTGCCACCATTGGGATCTCAGTAACTAATGATTTTACAGCAAACTTTAAATGGGGAACATTCCCTTGTTTTTAAAGGAGGTTCAAAAATAATTAAATGAAATTTTTGTAAATGGCCGCCATTTTGCAATATGGCGGTCAACTTTGAAATTTCTTACGGAACACCCTATATTTTATCATGTTTTCGGATAGAACACGCAATTTAAAAACTTTTTTTTTCTTGACATTTTTTCGATAAACCCACTTGTTTAGGAGTTACAGCCTATGGAAAAATGACTTCCGGTGTACATTTTGTAGCTCCTAAACAAGTAGGTTTATAGCGAAAATGCGAAGAGTAAATAAGTCAATTAAGTCTTAAAATTGCATCCACATTCCATAAAGACCATAAAATACACAGTTTTCCACTTTTCAAGTTTGCCACCATTTTGGAAAATGGCCGCCATTTTTGAAATAATAGAATTAATATTTTTAACAAATTTTATCATCTTTTTGGAATGTGGATGCAATTTTAAGACTTTTTATGATATGATGGAGGATATTATTGTAATGTAACTGGAATGTAGGTCTTCTACCATTATTAGGACGATTTAGAGACATCATTTTAATATTGTCCTTAATAATGGCCATTGGATACAGAAGATTTTGATGAAAAAGCTGGCTACAAATTTAACATGGGGATGGAATGTCTGTAAGTTGTATTGATAGTCAAAGATAAAACATAGGCCTACGAAAAATGTGGGGCTATTTTAATGTAAGACTCAAATGTAAAACACCTTTAAAAAACTAAAATGAACTGAATTATCAATCATATATTTCAATGTGTAAAAACGTAAAAAATGCAAAAAGACTTACTTATTGAACAACTAGCTGTACCCGCGGGCTTTGCCCCGTTCAACTTCACAAGTGAGCTTGTTCGCATGGCTCAATCACGTCCTGGTTGATGTTCGTTCGCTACGCTCACTCACCTTTAGGTTGGAGCTCGTTCGCTACGCTCACTCACTTTTGGTTGCAAATTGGCTGTAGTCATAAATTTAAAAAAATAATAGTGCTACACCCTGTTGGTAATCCTTGTAACTTTAATGCTATTGAACATCATAGAACAGAACCAACTTGTTTAATTGAAAAAGTTGTTAAGAAATTCCTTTTAAATATGAAAATCATAAGGTTGACATGGGAAACTCCAGAGCCACTGGGGCGGAGCCCGAAAGCCCGATCAGAATAAAAACTACTTAGTTTTCCAATTTAATGCCTAAAGAATCGGTGTACCGAATTTCAGCCTCCTAGGTAAATGGGAAGTGAGAGAATTAGTGATGAGTGAGTGAGTGAGTGAGTCAGTCAGTCAGTGAGTTTGGCGTTCCTCCTAGTTCGTCTCCTTTGATCCGTGACGGGAGACCACCAGAAAAGCGAGCGCCCCTGAACACGAATGTTGGCAATGCGAACTACCCCGAATGTACACAAGCACACCCAGTACACTATCGCCATTGACTATATAACACTATCACGCTCGTCTTTGTTCACCTACATTCGGCGATAGTGTACTGCAGGCATAATGGAAGTGATTAAAATCTCTTAACCAACAAAATCCAATAGTACTTAGATCAATTTGTTAGCTCTACTTTGGGGATGGATGAAATCCCTCTTCCCTATCAATGAACAGCAAAATATTTATATTTACATGTATACAATTTTAGTTTTTTGAAACCTCATTAAGTTTTGTGTATGAGTTATAAAATTCTACAGTGAGAATATATCATTAAAACAAACTTAACAACTGGATAATCAAAGTAAACACTCTCCTTTTAGCGGATAATTTGCCTTTGGTAATCTTGCGAGATCACGCGACACATTTCCCAGCGTAGGAGACGAAGATAGAATACCAAACAGCTGATTGTCACAATTTGTCTTTTGTGAGCCAATTTATTCTGCTGAACTGGATAAAGAGATGCTGCATTGTTATTGTTACCTCGCCAATGATATCGTTAGGCCTCGATTGATCTTGCTGTGGACTCGAAGTGAACTAAACCTGCTGTGTTTTGTCAGCCTGCTTGAGTTTTCATTTCGATTATGTAAAAAAGAAAACCAACTTTAAAGCGTTCGATCAATTATTGTAAACAGTTAAACATTTTGTTTAAAAATAACAATTGTAAAGACTAAAGGTGATAAAGCAGTCTTCACTATTCTTTACCTCTTTAAAAGAAAGAACCATTTGATTCCTTTGAACCTCTGTAAGTTGACTTAAATCAACCATGGTCTCAGTCAAACTACGGCACGCCAAACTATTAGTTTCATAAATTTTGAATTTGTTATTGCAAAATCTACATAAACAACAATAGACATTGGTATGTGATCGATTAGAGTTTTTTTCTAGCAAATTTCCCATAGGGAATAAGGTCTTATTCCCTAGATCCAAGACCTAGATTCGAGACCAAATTATTTTCTTGTTTTGGGGTCCCTAGCAAATTTCCCATAAGGAATAAGGTCTCATTCCCT